ATCTGCTGAGTATTTAAGTAATCTGGTTTCCATTTGCTCGCTAGTCTCCAATAACTGAATGGGAAAAGCATAACATTTGCCTCTGAGCAAGGGCCAAAGACCTTCTGAAAAGTCCTAAGAGTTAACTGACAAAACATACCAAGTATCCACTGGATATAATCTGTGGAAAAACTATAAAGGAGAAACGAATCAGAGACAGCAGGAGGCACATTTGGATCTCAGGTGACAATAATTGTGACCACTTAATGAGGGCTTCCCTCACACTGTAACAAAACACTACAAACATTCTTACTTTTGAAAACCGAGATATAACTGACATACTCAAATTCACTTTTAACGTGTACGATTCAGTGGTTTTTAGTGTATTCACAAAGTTATGCAAACATCACCACAACCAATTTTACAATATTTTTTATTATCCTAAAAAGAAACCCTGCACCCACTCCCCATTGTCCCCTAACCCCCTCCCCTAAGCCCTAGGCAACCACTCATCTTAGCCTGTTTCTATGGATTTGCCTATTCTAGATATTTCATATAAATAAAATCATATAACACGTGGCCTTTTGTGACTGGCTTCTTTCACTTGTTTTTAAGATGCATTGTTTTAAGAGGAGGAAACTGAGGCATAGGGAGGCGAAACCAGAGGTCACAAACTCACAGGCCTACAGGGTCCAGGCAAGAGATACAAGTGAGAAGGCCAAGAGACATAAGACAGGCTGTGGTGAACTTGCCCACGCAGGAAGCCAGCTGGGGAGCCCATGTCCTGGCTGGGAAGGGGAGTGGGAGGCTCCAATGTCCTCCTGATCTGTCATGTTGGAATGTGGGCCCCACGGAGCCCCAATTGGAGAATTTCTCAATTTTAAATACCCTGTGATCCAGGCCAAAGCAAATGGGTCTTACAGCAGGACACAGTCCCTGGTGCCAGTCTGTGACCCCCGGATTAAATAATTCGCTGAGGGTCCCGCTGCTAATAAAGAGCTGAGCTGGGTGGAATTCGGACCCACATTCCAAAAATTGCCTTAAGCCACTTGGATATAATTAGTGTCTCCCCCCAAAAGTGGTAGGTTCCAAAAAAGCCAGGTCATACTCAATAGTTCAACCTTTATCTAATCACAGAGCTCCAGGGATCACTGCTCCCCACCAGTCCCTTCCCCAGCGGGCAAGGCGAGGACGCATGATTCAGGAGCTCTATTCCCATAAGTCTGCTCTTGGGCTTCAGTGTTCTCAGGGGGTATGGCCCACGTACCTACATTTGCTGGCTTTTAGAACTCCAAGTTCAGAAACACTAGAGACTTGACAGACGAGGACGCATGATTCAGGAGCTCTATTCCCATAAGTCTGCTCTTGGGCTTCAGTGTTCTCAGGGGGTATGGCCCACGTACCTACATTTGCTGGCTTTTAGAACTCCAAGTTCAGAAACACTAGAGACTTGGCACTAAGCCCATCCCTGGTTACCATGAAGGGCACCATCTCTCCCAGCCTGAAGTCAGGGGGCTCTGCCGCCACTCTGTGAGCACAGCACTTCTAGCAAAGTGGCACCCATTTATCTGAGTGTCGGCTGGCATTTCTCCCCCACACTGGACTCTCCTGGACAGCAGAGCCTGGGGTATTACCAACTTTTTTTGTCAGAACTGATTGGACTACATTCTCTGAAATTGAGAGCTCACAAAACCTGAAACAGCGATTCTAAAATCTTGGCTGAAGTGCCTTGTCCTTTAGAAAATTGAGTGGGCATGTGTGGGGCTTAAAGCATCAAGGACTGTGCACAACAGGCTCACGCATTTAGCCATCAGATCCTGGTCATGGAATACAGCCTGGTCTCGAGATTCTAGAGTCTAGGGGCCCTTCAGATGACCAAGCATCCAACTCTTTGCACTTTTAGTGTCTGAGAGGTCTGCCGTCAAGATAAAACACCTTCCCCTTATTAAAAATTTTAATCCCTCATTGGAACACCATATGCAGCACTGGCTCTGTCACCTGAGCAGAATGGGTCCTGGAAAACTGAAAGTGGCAGTTAAAATAACCATGGAGATAGATGTTCAATTGTGAAAATTTATAAATTAAATATATGTCTTCTTTTTGGTAGGGAAAACTACTCATCCTGGTGGGGAAGCCTTTTGAGACAGAAGAACCTAGGTTTCTGATTTAGGTTCTAGCTAAACCTTGTGAAACCTTGGGAAGATTCTTAACCTCAAGAAGCCTGTTTCCTCATCTGTGAAATGGGGTAACACTACCGAGCTTACATGGCAGCCATGTGAAATAAATGAGATGAGGGACATACAACGTCCAAACAAAAAAAGCTTCTCTATCCTCCTACCCACAAAGCAAACAGTGCTTTACACACGATTACTTTTTTTTTTTTTTTTATGATCACTGTTACAGACTGAATTACGTCCCTCTACCCAAATTAATGTGTTGAAATCCTAAACCCCAAGGAGACTGACTGTATAGCAGTCTTCTTATCTGCAGTTTCAGTTTCCCATGGTTAACTGTGGTCCAAAAATATTAAATGGAAAATTCCAGAAGTGAGCAATTTAAAACTTGTAAATTGCATGCCGTTCTGATGAAATCCTGTTTTCCTGCCCGAGACGTGAATCATCCCTTTGTCCAACATATCCACGCTGTGCAAACTTATAATAAGATATTTTGAGAGAGACCACATTCATATAACTTTATACAGTGTATTATATTTGTTCTATTTTGTTAGTTATTGCTAATCTCTTACTGTACCTGAATTATAAATCAAACTTTATCGTAGATATATTTGTATAGGAAAAAGCATAGTATATATAGGAGTTGCTACTATCTGAGGTTCCAGGTGTCCACTGGGGGACTTGGAATGTATCCCCCCGGATAATGGGGGGGCTACTGCACTCTGAGGAACATATCAAACAGGACACTCCTCATTCCAAATGTGGCTGAAGAAGGCTAGAAACTGATGGTAGGATCTTCTAGGCCAGTGCTTCTAGAACTTTAACGTGCACACAAATCACCCAGGGATCTTGTGAAAATGCAGATTCTGATTCACAGATCTGAGGTGAGGCTAGAGAATCTCTAACAAGCTCCTAGGTGAGCCTGATGCGGCTGGTCTGTGGGCTACACTTTTGAGTAGCAAAGTCTTTAGACTGCAATGTTCCTCACTGAAGATGTGTGTGGTCATTCATTTAGACACTGTCAAATGGCACCAGACACTGTGCTAAGTGCTGAGCATAAATACAACAGGTTCTGTGCTCTTAAGGAGTTCTCACACCAGTTAAGGCCCAAGGGGGTTTCTCTGAATTCCTCGAATCAAGGACAATGTGGAATACAAATCAAATCCAATTAAAGTCAAAACCCTTACAGGAGAGCTTGCAGAGTGAGAGCACTTATACAGGTTGTGCTAGAGGCAACAATAATCCTGAGATAAACACCTCTAGTCAAGGGCTCAACAGATGATTGAAGCTGCAATAAAACCAGACATTCCTGAGAAGCAGAGTGGGTGATGTTCAAAACTGGGTGTCAATGCAGCTGCCAAGCCTACGGACAGGGAGCCACATCTATACATCGGCTCTGGCCTCCTATCAATATAGGGAAACTCGTCATTAAGACTTGCTAGCCTAAGTGAGATTCAGGGTATAAACAAGAAGCAGTACGAAACGAGAGTAGTCAGGAAAATGGTGCTTGATGAGAGAAGAAGGTACGTGTTTTTGGACATGCTGAATCTTAGAGCCGAATGGGAGGGTCCTCTTAGCAAAGTGCAACCCTTTAGTTGAGGAGGAAACTAAAACCCAAAGCAGTTAAGGAACTGGTTCTCAACTGAGGCGATTCTGTACCCCCAGGAGACATCTGGCAATGTGTGGAGACATTTTTGGTTGTTAGAACTGATAAAATGCTAAATGTGTCTAGTGGTTAGAGAACAGGGATGCTGTTAGAATTCTTACAACACACAGGACAGCCCCCACAACCAAAATGTCAGTAGTGCTGAGATTATGAAACCCTAAGTTAAGGAATTCGCCCAAAGTCAAAGACTGAGTGTCACACCACGGACTAGTTCAGAGCTGTCCAACAGCATTCTACAGCGATGGAAATAGTTCAAAGTCTGTGCTGTCCATTATGGTGGCCAATAACCACATGTGGCTATTGAACATGTGAAATATGAGGAGTGTGACTGAGGAACTGGATTATAATTTTTTATCTTATCTTTAATAATTTCACTGTAAACAGCTACACATGGCCAGTGGCTACACTACTGGACAGGGCAGAACTATGGCCCACATTTCTTGACTCTTAGACAATTCTTCCAGTTTTATAACCTGCTCCTTTCCACTCTTCTGAAATCAACCCTGACTTTATCACAAAGATCTGACTGGAAAAAAAATACAAATGTAAAGTAATAGCAGAAAAATCTTAACAAAATGTTCCCAGTTAAACAACTTATTTTATACATTGGAAAATAAAACAATGTCAGATCATGGTTACACACACATGTAATAAGAATGCAGAAGCATAAAAAGGTCAAGCTATTCCTACTTCTACTTTCAAGTAAGGGTGACATGACAGATAAACAGCCCTCTGAGCCTTCAGATTTCGAATCTGATTTCTCCACTTGGTCACCTAACGGTCCCTTTCACTTCTCAGAAGCTGAGTAAGAAATGAGGCAGGTCAATTCAGCAAATTAGTGCTTCCCACCTCCCTCCCATCAAAGGCCACTTTCTGATTTGCTGGTTTTGATGGAGACCACACTGAGCATGCACCATGTTCCAGGCACTGTGCTAAGAACTAAGCATACATATACCCTGTCACTTGATTCTTATGGCAGCCCTTTGGGCACCAGAAGGTTAATTAACTTGGCCGAAGTCACACAACCAGTCGAAGCAAAGCTGGGATTCCCAATCTCCTGCTCTTAAACCTGCAGAAGCAACACCGGCTGGAAAGGCGTGAGCTGTTCCCTTGGGGAGCCGGACTCCTGTATAACTCGCCTCCGCTCCCCACGCCCAACCCTGCTTGCCCGCGGCTCTTACTTTTCAATCTCCAGCGCTGCCACCTTCCGCTTTTCGTAGAGCTTGTCATTTAGGGCGCGCACGATGTTGGGCGTGAGCGGCGCGAAGTCCTTCTCGGGGTTCATGGTGGCAGCTCCGGGTGTTCCCCGGAGCCTCGCGACTCCTCAGCCCGGGTCGCGCCGGGGGCCAGGGGAGTTTGCGGCTCCGCGCTGCCTCCGGCTTCGGCTCATGGACCACGCCGCCCCGGGCTTGCCTGCCTCGCTCCGCCGCCGTGTGCCACCCTGGGAAACCGAGCCTGGACCCCGCCCCCGCACACTTGCTCCCAGCCACCCTACAGCTCACGCGACCAGTTCCCGCCCCGCACCTGCCGCACCTGCCGTGCTCAAAGGGTAGCGGCCATATTTGTCGGATCACATGACTTCACAGCAATTTCCGTCTTCCGCCTCGAGGATCCGCCCCTCGTTAGCCACGCCCCACGCAGGCCGCTAGTGGTTTGGCCCCGCCCCCGCAAGGCTCCTCCTCTCTTTCCACCCTCATTGCCTGAATCTAGTGTGAGACCTGCTCCATGTGGGCGTGTATCTCTTGAGCTCAGTTTCCTGTGTGAGGTAGGCTTGGGGCACAGTGAGTTTTTGTAGACGTTCGTAAGAAGGAAGGGGCTTTTGGAGCCTGATTTATTTAGCATAATTTATTCAGTACTAACCGAATCCACTAGTTTATTCACTAGTCACCAGTCAATTTTGCATATACCAATGTTTTTCAAATTGTAGTGACACCGCCATGATTTTTGCCATTTCCTAGACACTTGTACTATTAAAAAAAATTTGTCTCAAATCAACTCAAAATCTTAAATTCCTACTTCATTCTTGCTTATGCCCTAAAATCATGCGTTTTAATAGTTGTATATTTTTCTTAAAAAAAATTAAATTCTCAATTAAAAGCAGTATTGTCTACTACCTAAAATCTCAGGTGCCGACAGTGACTGTCCCTTATTTGGGACTTGGGATGTATTTACCATGCTCTGATACCTGGAAGGGGTAGGTTACAGATAGCAGAAACCCTAAATCTGTTGGGTATAGGTCTCCAGATGGATCCACTATAAAGCAGACCCTCCAGGTGCTCTGAGTCACACTAAATGGTAGAATAGAAATTGAAACCATATGGTAAATTTTTAAAAAGCACTTTATGGATGTAATATGGCTGAAGATTCAGTAAGAGGGAGATGCATCAGAGTTCCTTATTGTGAGCTTCCATAGCGGACAAGGTCTTCAGGGCAAGACCACAGTGGGGCCCAATGGGTATTACATATGAACGTAACATATGATGATGCTTTTCTCTAATGAATGAAAAGTATACCTGTAAAGCTTATAACAATCTTGAAACTGGAGTATACTCTTTAGTTATACTCCGTAGATTAGAATCAATGGGGACACAAAGGAGGGGTTATCATAGGCAGAATGCTAAGATGGCCCCCAAGGGTCTCACCCCTTTGGATACATGCCCTGTATAATCCTTTCCCCTGGAGTGTGGCCAAGACTTGTAAATATGATGGGCTGTCACTCCAACAATTATTGTGTTATGTAGCAGAGAGATTTTTCAGATGTAATTAAGATCCCTAAGCAGTTGACTTCGAGTTGATTAAAATGGAAATTATCCTGGGTGGGTCTGACCTAATCAGATGAGGCCTTAAAAGAAGTTAGAAGAGATTTGAAGTAGGAGAGAGATTCTGCTGGCCTTGAAGAGTAAACAGTAACAATAGTGAACTGTGATGGACCACATGATAAGGACCTTAGAGTGGTCCCCTGTTGTCATTTGCCAGGAAAATGGAGATTTCAGTCATATGGCTGCAAGAAAATGAATTTTGTCAACACACTTGAGGAAGCTTGGAAGCGGGCATTTCCCTAGTTGAGCCTCCAGATTAGGATGAAGCTGGCTGGCATCTTGATTTCAACCTGGGGGACCCTGAGCCAGGAACCCAGTTCAGTCCATTCCTGACCCATGGAAACTGTGGAATAAGAAATTTGTGTTGTTTTAAGCTGCTAGGTTTGTGGTAATTTGTAATGCAGCCATAGAAAACACATACAGAAGCTAACCCCAAACTCTGTAATTCATGGAGGATTATGTCTAGAAAAATCTGTGAAAAATGTGCACTCCTTTACTGGTGGGATTTTCACAGCTTTTAATACCTTTGCCAATACAGTTCAATGAATGAAAGTGGGTTCACTAACAACCTGAAAACTGCTCCAAATATAGATACATCTCCAGAGAAAAATATATTTCTTAATGGTTTCCACCTCTTACCTCGATACCAAGTAGCACCGATAAGGACATTTCCAAATGTTTTGCAAGGTTTATGTCTTTAGGATTTTGATGATGATTGATGTAAAACAAACAAAAAATCAAATCAATGGGAATAATGTGGATCTATTTCTCCAGTGTGTATTCATTTCCACTGGATTCATATCTAATTTAACATCTCATCTGTTTCTTTTGCTGTTTGGTTTGGCTTTTTCTTAAAGGTTAACTGAATTCCCCAAAGGTCGTATGTGATACAGTTTTTAATAACTGAAACAGTAAGTTTTTTTTTTTTTCTTTTTTACCAGAAGGAATTCTTTTCTCCTGAAATCACATTCTGGACTAGGTTGCTAAGAAACCAGTATCTTACTCAGGGCCCAAACCAATACTTTGTTCTACCTTTAGTTCAGAAGTTCCTGGAAAGAAGTGGCTTCATTTCTCTATCTTGGAAAATGTGAACTGATTGAGGTTATTTATGCATAATTGGACTGGCAGTGGTGCTGAAAATAAAGCCCAGAAGCTACTCTTGCCTTCTTCTCTATGTGCTCACGTCTCCTCTGACCCTGGTCAGGCCTGTCATGCTCATACTCTTCTGGACTAGTGGGTAATCGATATGCCTGGTCACACACTGGCCATAATTTCCCAGTTGTAGCTCATCTGTATCTGTGTGATACCTGGTTATTATTACACAATTTATGGATATTGTAGTTAGTAACACTGTAAGAAATGGTACCCAAATCTTGAACTGTGCAAAGTGGTGTCTCCAAAGAGTATAATTTTGCTGGAGTTTCAGGGTAACATGTTGAAGGTATAAGAGGCTTGGGAAATCCTAGACTTGAGATTTCTTGCGATCTGACAGGCCCTAATGACAACACAGTATCATCACTTCTGACCTGAGGTGTGTCTCCCTCAAAGAAGTGGTTAGACTTTGGATGCCACATTCACCAGGGCTTCTGTGTCAAACAATGTCAGGGGCCCCATTCACGTCATATTCTGTGCACAATGCTCCCTAGAGTTGTGGCACCTGGTGGCCCTGATGTTTTCTGTGTGCCCCTCAGTGGGATGTCTCCTGGTCTGCTTTGCTGAGAATGTGTTCTTTCAAAGGTGATTTCCAGTTGCTTCTGTCAGAATGTTAGTTTTCACCAAGCCTCTCCCCACCCTCAGTTGAGCTGCTTGCTATTCCAAATTCGCCAATATGAAATGATTTCGTTATTGTCTTTTTGAGGAAGCATGGAAATGACCCCAGGGGAAGATGTGTACCTATCTCCACTCATCCTGGCAGGGGGTCCATGCTTGGGCAGGGCTTGAGCTGAGCTCTTGGTCCCAGGAAGAAGGGACTGCCTCCTCGATTCATATCTAGAAGGCCTTGGGTTCTGGGTTTTGGTTTCAGAGCTGGAGAGCGCTGAGGTAGGGGGAGTTACCCTGGGCCACCTGAAGGCACCATTTTGCCGGTGGTGACAATGGAAAGTGGCCAATTTCTATAGCAGCCAGTGTCTGGGGTGGTGGCTGGAGCCCTCCAGCTTCAAGGGAACATAGCAAAGTGTTGACCTTTACAGTTAGAGAAATCTCTGAGTCTTCCCATGCTCTGACCGCTGGTGTTTCAGCCAGTTTTCACACAGCTTCCTCCATCTTTTCCTCGGTCTTAATAACCATTTATCAGACTAGATTTAGAACTGTTGAAGACAGCGGTGATGGAGACAACTGTTTCCCAACCCCCAGCGATATGCCTCTGGTGGGTGGGTGGGAAGAGGGACATTTCGGGGAGGGCCAGTTGTATCAACTAGGCCACAAGCGGAGTTGGCGAGACTCCTCTCTTGGGCTCTAATGAAGAGCATTAGGGCTGTGGATTCAACAAAGCTCAAGTTCTGCTAGTGGTCTTCAAAGCAGCCCTCACGGCAGCCTTGTGCACAGTGTCTCCTGGAGATGCTGCTACAGCGGATTTTGATTCAGTAGGTCTGGGGCGGGTTGAGAGATCCTGCATTCCTAACAAGTTCCCCGGTGGTGCCGATGTGGGGAGGCTGAGGCTTCAGAGCTGTGCTGACTGCGGTGGAATTCTCAGGCCAGCATCAATAGCATCAGCAGGAGCTTGGTAGATATGCAAATTCTCAAGCCCACCCAAACCTACTAAATCCGGCCCTCTGAGGGTGGGGGCAGCAGTCTGTGATTTAAAAGCCCCCTCGGTGATTCTGATGGATGCTAAATTTGAGAACCACTGGTTTATTCAGATAGCATATTTGCGTCAGTACAAGCTCGTTGATCTCCATGTCTGCTTAGATTGTTGCTTAGTGCTTTCTTTGCTCCTTTAACCACTGGGGAAAATCTCATCTAAATTCTTTGTCTTTATGACATTTAGCAGCATCTTTAGTGGTTACAAAAATGAACTATTAAGTCAGCGAATACTTTAGAAAAAGCTTCATTTGGTTCTAGCTGTGTGTAGAGTGTACTGGGCTGTATGAGAGTATCCTTAAACTCTTGTTAAATCCTGGGTTTCTGGGCCACACTACTGGAATTTCTGACTTGATATGTTTGGGGTAGCCTGAGAATTTGCATTTTTAATAAATTCCCAGGTGATGCTGATGCTGCTGGTCCAGGGGCCATTTCCGAGAACCACTTCTTTGGAGCATTCATTCCCAAAAGGCCATCTTCTTTCATGGCTCCTCCCTCTCTTGCAGAGAGGCAGTAGGGAATGAGCAGGGGGGAGGAGGTGGAGGCAGGGGAACCCTCATGCATGGGCACATGCATGCACGTGTGTGTATGCACGCATGCTACACAATAGGTCACGAGTGTGATACCTGTGTCATCTTATTAAAAATGAGATTATTACATAGCACTTGAGCTTTGAGGATATGTTAAGAAAACTAAATTCAGAGACTTGCCCTTGCAAAGTATAGCTCTGTTTCTTATAGTTACCATGTTTACTATGGAATATATATATTTCATACATATACTTGGAATACATATAATATGGAAATAAGTGCCCTTATAATTGAATGAGGAGGACAAAACGGTACCTTAAGAATTCTGATTATTTTCTCTGCTCTTTGCCAGGCTAGAGCAATACACAGTTATTAAGGCTGAGGAGATGGCTCTTCCTGAATGCAGCTGACCCTGGCTCCCACTACGGGGTGATGCCCTTCAGATAATAAACCCACTTAATTCCTGTTTCTCTGCCTTCGCCGGGCGGGCACGCCACAATCAGCTTGCTGGTGATGGGAATTTTGCTGCCCGATGGATTTCCATCAAAAGAGACTGTGATGTTGTTGATCTTCTTGGGCCGCATGGACTCGACGGCACGGACGGAGAAGGCTGGGTTCTCCACGATGAAGGAGAACGAGACCGTTTGGTAGAAAACATTCTTGAAGGGGATGACTATGCTGTACCCGGCTCGGATCAGGAAGGGACCTTGCGGCTTGGGGGGTAGGGCCATTCCGAAGAGGGGGATGGTATACTCCCCACCAGTAAGTGATGACAGGGTCAGGATGCCCTTGGTCTCACCCAGGTGGCTGGGCTCGAAATAGACTTCCACGCTGACTTCGGTACCCCCCTGAGCTCCTGGCGCTGCGCCAATGACCTTTTCCGTGTGGAAGTCTGGACAGTCGGTCTGAAAGAGGAACATAGGCACTTGGCTGACACAGGATCCTGAAGGGTAAACCAGCAGCTTGGGTCCATCCCAGTCCCTCTGCTCTTGGCCAGGCAGGTTATAAAAAAGCCGTGCCCTTATAACTCCCTTGAAGAGTGGGTACTACTAATTATAATCCCTATTTTACTACAAAGAAACTGATGCCAAGAGACGATAAATAACTTGTGCGAAGACACACGGCTGGGTTATGTTGGCGTGGCAGTCACTGGTGTAGCTCCCCCACATCTGGCTCTTCTTTGCTTCCATACACATGGCAGACCAAACACTCTGGATCCTCATGGGTGGGGGAGACTAGTTCTGGACCATTAGTTGCAAGCAGAAGTGAAAGGTGTCACTTCCACACTAGAGCATTCAGTTGCCAGTGCAAGCCCCTATGGGGTCTTTTCACTGCTCTGGTAAAAAGGCCATAAACATTTGAGGCAGTGGTTACCCTTCGGCCTGGGTCCTTGAAAGTCTGTGATGAGCAGAGTCCCTGATAACCCTCTCCAGATAAACAGCAAAAATAAGAGACTAACCTTGTGGTTTTAAGCCACCAAGATAGCAGGGCTCTTTGTTACTACAGCATAACCTCGCTTCTCCTGACAGGACTGTAGCCAAGGGCGCCCTGATGTTAACTGGTGCATGCTCACCCAGTGTGAAGACTACACTTCCTCGCTCCCCTTGCTGCTAGGTGTGGTCCTCTGCAGTTTGTTCAGTGGATGGTAGTGGAAGTGATCTATGCACCTGCCCCTCTGCCCCCTTTTCCCTTGTAGCTGTCTAGAATGTGGAAGTCACGGTGAGCTGTCTTGGTCTACATGGCCCAAAGCAACTCTCCGAGGGAAGAGCATCAGGACGGGGGAGTCTGGGGACCTGATGTTGTGTAGCTACCATTCTAGCCCAAACTGCTTATGCCCACGCTGTTATTCCAGAGAGGAATAGCCTTCTATTTTGTTGTCATTTTGGGTTTGTTTCAGTAGTTAAACCTATATTCCAACTATAATGGGTAACATATATGGGAAATTTATTATGGACCAGGCTCTATGAAAACAGTTTTATGTACATTTTAAAATCCTCACAGCAATCCTGTGAGGTCAGAGTATTATCGCCATCTATAGATAAACTTAGCTTTCGGAAATTATTTGTACAAGGTGAAATGGGGAAGCCAGGATTCAGATCCAGGTTTGCTGGCTTCCACAGCCTATACTCATGACCACTAGGCTCTACTGTCTCCCTGTATTGACCACTGAGCAGGCAGTGGGAAGCAAAACTCCCCCCACTGCCACCCAGCTTGTTAAGAGAGAAAGTCTTTAAGGAGGAACCCAGGCCTTGTACTATTTATTTCTAGTTGGGAGTTCCCAGGCTAGATGAAACACCTGAGTCTCTGAGTTTCACATTTATGCACCCCCTGTGTCCTCCTCTCATTATTCTGAGGTCAGACTCCTGGCAAGGGAAGGGCAGAAGGTGGGCCAGGGGCTGCTCACCCTGCAGAAGTATTCTGTCTTCTGCCGGGTATAATTGATGATCTTGGCAAAGATGCTCTGGCCGCTGCCAAGAACAGCCTGGAGGTGGACAGGCTTTTCAGGCAGTGCTGGCAAGGCCTTCAAATTGAGCTCATACTGGTAGTAACCCAAATCATTGTTGTGCAGAACTAGTCTCCCAAAGGTTTCTCCAGCTCTCAGGGGCTGGAATTCAAATGAGAATGTGCCCTGCAAGAGAAGATAAAGGCTCCTGTAATACTGAAAGTCCCACCCATCCCACGCCATCCAGTGACCTCAGAGCAGGTTGGTGGCAGAACTGGCGCTTCACAAGCAAATGCTCACTCTGATCTTGATCCAGGGGAACCTCTGTCCAAACCAACCCACTTTGCCTCCCCTGTACCCTCTTTAACTTTCCCTATTCCAGGTATTTCCAGATCTGGGATCTCTTTGAATCTACAAACAGGTACTAGAGCCTCTCTTGAGAAGCACACTACAGACCCCACCAGGGCTGGCTGGACCTCAGGAGTATGGAATGTGGATCCACAGGCCCCTTAGGCAGAGCCTCCATAACAGCTGTCAGGGGGCCCCTGGAAGCCAAGATCATACCTCCGAGTTAGCAGGCACCACAAACTGGGAGGGCAGGCTGATGTCAGGCACCCTGCATTCCGTGGCAAAGGTCACTGGGTAGGGCAGGGGGTTCTCCACTTTGATGGAGGCCGATGTACTCTGCCGGACGGGGCTCACCATCTCGATGGTTTTGATGACGCCTGAAGGGATAACTCTGAAACTCACTGTGTAGTACAGGAACTCGTTGGTCACCTCGTTTCGGAAGATCACCTGAGTTCACAGGGAGAGCGGGAGGAAGCAGGGCAGAGTGGAGGTGTTAGCCGGGGGTCCTCTCAGTGAGCAATGCCCGGGTACAAGAAGTATGGGGACCAAGCCGGCAGAGGCCCTCCCAGCCGACGTGAACCCTTGTCAGCCAGCCTTTCTCTTCGGGTATCCTGCCCCGGCGCCTCCCAGGTGGGAGTCCATCACACAGCCTGAGCTCGCTCTGGAAGAGGCCAGAGCAGCACTGTCTGGTGCTTCAGGTGAAGGTGTCCTGAGCGGGGACAGCTGAGTGACCCCGGAGAATAAACAAGGCCTCAAGAGGTTCATGTTGTAGTGGGTTTCACTTCTATTCTGGAATAGTTGATAACAGGAATGATATCGGCTAACACTTAATGAATGATTACTGTGTGCCAGACATTAGAAGTACTTCCTTGTTTAATTTACACAATTTGTAAGTGACATTATTATTCCTCCACTTTTGTTTTTTGAAGATGAGGAAAATGAGGCTTAGCAACATTAAGTACCTTGCCTAGGGTCACATGCAGAGAAGTGTCAGAACCAGGATTTGAACCCAGGTTGGACTGACTCCAGAGCTCACACTTGTAACTGCAGCATGTTGTCCCCTCATCCCTGCCACTGACTTGTTATTGACAAGCTGCTCACCTCTTTAGGTTCTCTTCCCAGATGCTTGATTAACGTTGAACATCTTCTCAGGTGCTTGCTGGTCATTCACATACCAACTTCCATGAAGCTGAGTCTCTTCAAGTCTTTTGCCCTCTCACTACTTTGGATAGTTTATCTTATTATTATTAGGTGTAATAGTTCTTTACTTTCGACTTCTTCCTGTCTTTAGATTTAGAGTGCTTCTGAACCCTCTGTCTTTTCATTGGAGTGGTTAGTCTTTACATTTAAAATAATTATTTATGTGTTTGGGTTGAAGTCTGCCCTCATGCTATTTCTTTTCCATTTGCCTCATTTTTTCATTCCTCCGTTGCTACTTTCCTGCCTTCTCTTGGATCAACATCTAATCTTTTCTAATATGTTTTATTTCCTCTCTTGCTTCTTAGCCATATTTTTATTTATATTTTTAAATAAATGGTTGCTGTAGAGCAACATGAAATTTTGTCAAAATATTTAAAGTCAATATTTTATCACTTCCCACTTTACAACTGACCCTTTATGCTTCCTACCTCACACTTCCCACCTCACAAATGTAATAAATGTATATTATTGACCTCTCCATCTATCTTCTGTGTTTTTGTTGTCCTATCTTTTACTTCTACATATATAAGAAGATCCACTTTACAATGTTATTTGTTATAAACTGTTATTTGTCTTTTAAAGAAAGTTATAAGAATAAAAACATGTATTTTAATATTTACCTACTTATTTACCATTTTTAAGTGATCTTTTTTCCTTTGAGCAGACCCAGGTGTCCATCTGGTATCATTTCCCTTCAGACTGAAAAATACCTATTAGCATCTAATAATGCAAATGCACTCAGTAATGCGTGTCTGCTGGCAATGAATTTGTATCTGAAAATGTCTACTTCACCTTCAGTTTTAAAGGATATTTTCAGTGAATAAAGAATTCTAGGTTGATACCTTTTTTTTTTTTTATTTTTTTTTAGCACTTTGCAGATGGCTTCTATTATATCTGAAAAGTCAGTGGCCATTTTTATTGCTGTGCCCCCTGTAATAGATTTTAAATATCTGGTTGTTTTAACCTTTATCTTTGGTTTGCAGCAGTTTTACTATGACATGCACAGGCATGGTTTTCTTTGTATTTCTCCTGCTTGAGGTTTGCCAAGTTTCTTGAATCTGTAAATCATTTTTTTAGAAGAATCAAATCAGGGAAATTTCAGCAATTATTCTTTCAAACAATATTCTGCCCCATTCTGTCTTCTCTTTTGAGATTCATATTACTCATATATTAGACTATTTTATATATATTTTTTACAGGTTCCTGAGGCTCTGGTTGTTTTTCTTCAACCTTCTTTTTCTCTTCTTCAGATTGGAAATTTTACATTGATTTGTTTCAAGTTCAATGACTCTTCTTCTCACGTCTCTAATCTGCTGTACTTTTCAGTTCTAGAATCTCCATTTGGCTTTTTTATAGTTTTTATTTCTCTGCTGAGATTCTTTATCTGTCCACTCATTAAGACCATATTCTATTTAATTATTTGAAATATATATTTTAGTCCTTGAACATGTTTATAATAGCTTCTTTGAAGTCTTTATCTGCTAACTCTGACATCTGGCCCATCTTAGAGAAAGTTTCCACTGACTGCTTTTTTCTTGGCGATAGGTCACGTTTTCTTGCTTCTTCACGAGTCTAGTAATTTTTGTTTGTGTACTGACCACTGTTGATGATCATGGTAGAGATCTGGATTCTGTTATTTTCTTTGTAAGACTGTTTTTATTCTAGGAGGCAGTTCAGTTACTGACTTATCACCTTACACTTGTGCAGGTTTGATTTTATGCTTTGTTAGAGCAGGTCTGTGGAAAACTCAAGGTGTTCTTCAAGCCCTTCCAACTTGGTGAAATTCAATCTCCAAATTTTGTCCTCCCTGCAGATCTCATAGGTGCTTAATTCTAGGCTTTTTTTTAGGCTGATTCACAGAAGGTCTTATCCTAAGGGCATGGTCCTTTCTTCTCGCCTTTCTGGTATTTCAGCTGTGTTCCTCAGATGTTAATGAGGTATTAATGTTACCTCTCCACTTTGGCTGGGCTGATGAATGTAGTATACCTTTGTCCCTTTATCAGCCTCATACTTGCTGCTCTCTGTGGTAAATCTCATGTAGTCTCTTCTTGTGCAGTCTACCTTCAGCCAAGGACTTTGAGGGGAACTCTCATATAAACTTTTGTTTTCCCACCCCCTCCACATCCTGCTCCCTTCTCTCTGGTACCCTGCCCTGTAGAGACCAGCTATTTCAGCTGTACCAAACTGGGATTTCTATCTCCTCAGTTCACTGGGGCTGCTGTGCTTTGCTTATACTCTAGCTCACGGCACCGGAGTGAGGAAATTTCCCTAGGCAGAGAGCCAGGACAATCATGGGGGCTCATTGCATAAGTGTCCTTTTCTCTGATGAATTACAGTATTGTGCTGCCTGCTATCCAATGACTGAGAAGACTTGCTTCAGATATTTTGTCCGGTTTTATAGTTTTTTTATGTTGGGAGGACTAGTTACTCCATCATAACCAAAAGTATTTTTGATTGAAAATTTGTTTTTGTTGTTATTGTTAATTTTAATACATTTACTATAAAGAGATTCTGTGATCTGGGATCATTGTCATTTTTACTCGAAAGTCTTTATACTTACATTTTAATACATATATTTATTTATATCTTTCTGTTTACATATAGTTTATGAATGTCTCTATTCTCTCCCTACCCTTTTCTATGAATGAGAAGATTTCTCTTATTTCTCCATTTGTTTCCAACTGAATGAAAAAATTTTCATTGCCTTATTTTATTCCTCCCCTTGCTATTTCCTATATTGAAGTTATATGAAATCCAAGAAGCTTCCTCTATTGCTTTTTGTATTCACTGTTGCCATGAGAAATCAGATGTTATTATGATTATTGTTTCTTTTTATTTTCTCTAGAATAATTTAGGACTTTCTCTTTTATCCCAGCTTTCTGAAATTTTGCTCGCATGTATTTAGGTGTGAATCTTTCATTCAACCTGTTTGGCAACTTGGTGGGTCCCTTCAATTTAGAAAACTCAGTCTTTCTCCAGTAGCTCTGGAAATTTTTATCCGATTATTTTGTGGAGTATATTCTTCCTTCTATTATCTTGTTTTTCTGTTTTAGAAGCTCCGATGGATATTAGAACTTCTTGACTTATAGTTTATATCTCATATTTCCTTTCATTCTTTTTTTTAAAAACAGCTTTATTGAGATATTATTTACATTCCATACAATTCACCCACTTAAAGTATGCAATTTATTAGCTTTTAGTATATTACAAAGCACTTATCTCATTTTGTCATTACACATTCATAGTCCAATTATTTGATTTAGAACATTTCATCTCTCCCAAAAGAAACCCTGTACCCAGTAACGATTATTCTCCATTTCCTCCTAACCCATCATCCCCTCTAGCCCTAGGCACCACTAATCTACTTTCTGTTTCTGTAGACTTGCCTATTCTGGATACTTCATATAAATGAAATCATATAATAGGTGGCCATTTGTGACTGGCTTTGTTCACTTAGCATATATGTTTTCAAGATTCATCCATGTGTTCCACGTATCAGCACTTCATTTCTTTTTATCGCCAAATAATCTTCCTTTTTATTTACCCACTCATCAATTGGGTTATTTCCATTTTTGGCTTTTATAAATAATGCTGCTATGAACATTTATGTACAGGTTTTTGCATGGACATATATTTCCATTTATCTTTGATAGATACCTAGGAGGGCAGTTGCTGAATCATATGATAATTCTATGTTTCAGCATTGGAAGAACTGCCTGACTGTCTTCCAAAGCAGCTGCACCATTTTCACTCCTCTCAGCAATGGATCCAACGTCTCCCCACCTTGCCAGCACTTGTTATCATTTCCTTTCATTCTTGCCATTTGTTTGTGCTCAGGTGCTAAAGTCTGGTGATATTACGCAGCTCTAACTTCTGATTTACGCGTAATCGCTTTCTCAGAGTCCCTTACATTATTCAGCCTTCCTCTGTCATTTTCTATTCCAAAGATTCTATTTTCATTTCCAGGGTCTCTAATTGATTCTCTTCCACAACAGCCTGTTCTTATTTCATGGGTATGATTATCTTTCTTTATTCTCTTGAGGATATTTATAATATTCACTAAAAGTCTTCTTCTGTTTGCTTTAATAACTTTTTTTTTAATCTCAGGAATTTTATTTGTTCAGCTGGCATTTCTATTATTTTTTTTCGCTTCAGGTGTTTTGTGACTCCTTGATTTGAAGGTTCTCTGTTAGTCTGTTTGTGGATGTGATCTAAGTGGAGCCGACAAGCTCAGTGATTGTAGGAGAGGAGATGACATGCTGCTGGGTGGGTTTTGCCAGTATCTATTCTGGAGGGGGAAATATGTTCCTAGGCTCTTTTTTTTTCCCACTTTAAAACCTTTCCCTAGGTAATTCCATTCTCTTATTGTAGTTTTAAATACCATTGGTAAGTGGGTAATTCCCAGATATAGTCTTCAGCCCTGACCTCTGCTGTGAGCTACTGATCCATGTATGCTCCTTTTCTTCAAAGCACTTATCTCATTTTGTAATTATACATGCACAGTTCAATTATTTCATTAATATCCATCTCCCTTCACTGGACTGTTTGTTCCATGAGAACAGGGACTGTGCCTATTTTTGATTGTTGCTGTGTTACCAGTCCATAGTATATGGCATATATGTTCAAGAGATACTTATTGAACTCATTAGAACAAACAGCTCATGTGTGAAAGGCCCTTTGGTGTCTTGGAGTCGATGGCTCTGAGTTGAATCCTGGCTCTGACATTACTATGTGTGCTGAGTGCTTAGCACAATGCTGGATACTCTCTAAGCACTCAGAAAATGGGATATTTTGTTATTATTGTGGTCTCATATTTGCTGGTCCAGTGTTTCCTACGGTGCAGGGATTTTCATGATTCTTCTGCCGTGGAGGCTTGGCATGGGCCTACATGATGGCAGGTTGGCCTTGCAATCTAGTCTCGTCTTAAAGAGGCTGGGAATCCTGAATGCCTTTGCCAGGTCAGCCCAACAGGATAAGGACAGGCTGGCTGTGGAGAACAGCTGCACTCCCTAACACCAGGACCGACCTCAGGGTCAAATCTCCAGGGTCCCAGGGTCATGCCTTTGATACATGGATACCTTTGCACTGTACAGTCCTTCCTTGTGGGAAAAGAAGTTCAGCTTGTAGTCTTTCTTGGAGCCAGACAACACGTCAATATAATCAAGGCCCTTTAAGGTGACACTAAGGTCTGGCCTCTCTGGTTTTAGCATTTCCACAATGGCTCGGAATCTGGGGAACAGGAGAACAGGAAGAGACAATAGAGAATAGAGAATGGAGAAAATGAGACATCTGCCCAAAGGATAAGAAGGAAAGGTGCTATCTCTACTCTTGATTTTATGAAAAACACATAGGTCCAGGATTCTAGTCTTCACTCTGTCACCAACAAGAAGAGTAACTACCATTTACTGACCACTTGTTATGGGCCAGGTACCCAATCAGTGCTCTGTATGTGTTATAGGCATTTAATCCCCGTAATATCTGTAGGAGGTACGTATCATTACTACCTCCATTTTACTCATGAGGAATGAGGCCAAGGGAAGGGAGGTAATATGCTCCTGTAACATGGCTAGTTATCAGCAGAACTAGGATTCAGACTTAGGTCTGGGCCTTTTTTCACAGTGCTAAGCAGGTGGTCTTCTTGTAGCCTTTGGCTCCTTCACTGTAAAAGAAGAGGACTAGGCTGGTTGGCCTCAAGCTCCTCTAGTCCTTTGCATTCTACTCTACTCCCACTGCAAGTACAAGATCCAACAGATATCCATCTCTGGCCAGTGGTTTAGATGATAAGACAGAGCACTCAATAATAACCCCCATGATTACTGTTTTGATAATCGTTAATAACAGATCATTTATTGAGGACTTATTTTGTGCCAGGCACTGTTCCAGGAGATTTATAAGTAATGAGCCATTCATAGATCACACTGAACAGGAGAATCTGGGGGTTAGAGTTCAGGAAATGCCTGGCTACATCAGAGAATTTTGACTCTTTTAGCTAATGTCCTTTAGGGGCCTTGACCAGGGGAAGGGCCAGGCTAGACAGGGAAAGTCCTCTCTCTGTTTTTCCCACCCCAAACCCTTGCCCCACTCCCTCACCTCTGGGGCTTGTTTAGCCAGTTGGTGATTGGCAGGAGCTCAGTGTAGGGTGTCTTACATGGCACTTCACGGTAGATATTGGCCACGGCTTTTGGGAGCTCAGAAGTCCCATGCAGTGCATACAGCCAGCCAGTCCCATCTGGGAGCGGGAAGAAGAGGGTGCCCTAAGGAGAGGAAGAAACGCCATCAGAATGACACAGAGGGTCCTTTATTAGTACCTCTCAGGCATGGTAGTGACACAGGATTAATGGAGGCTCTTCAAATGAGCATAACACTTTGTGGAAAGCAGCTTGGTAATATGTTTCAAAGTCATAAAAATGTTCATATGTATTTGAACCAGGAATCAAACCCAAGGGAACTTACTGAAGAAAAATCCATCCAGAGGAAAAAGTTACAGACATACGTACACATATATATTAGAACCATTTATAAGAATATTTGGAGATAACTTAAACATATAACAACTGGGGAATGTTAAATAAATTATGGAACTCTCATTCAATGAAATATTAGGCAATAATTATAAATAATTATCATGAAGACTACCTAGTTAAATAGAAAATGTCTCATGATATAATATAAAGTGAAAATAAACAATCAAAAATTGGGCATGCTATGATGGCAGCCAAGGCTGTATCTGAATAAGGATTGGTAATGAAGATTACTGGGGAATGTTAAATAAATTATGGAACTCTCATTCAATGAAATATTAGGCAATAATTATAAATAATTATCATGAAGACTACCTAGTTAAATAGAAAATGTCTCATGATGTAATATAAAGTGAAAATAAACAATGAAAAATTGGGCATGCTATGATGGTAGCTAAGGCTGTATCTGAATAAGGATTGGTAATGAAGATACGAGAACATAGAGTGAAAGACTGTGGCTTCTTTTTTGATTTTTATTGCAGTCACTCTGATGTTATTTGTGCAATTAAGCTAAATATTAATTGCTTAATGCTTAGTCCAGGACTCTGTTTCAGAACTTAGCCTCTGGTTCCAAGAGAATCCCCTATACATGAAAACATATGTACCAGAAGAGAAGCTTTGGACTTGATAATCTACATGATTCCCCATTGTTCCAACATGATTTGTGGGGTCCCCTCTTGTTCTAACATTCTCTGAACTACCAAACTCTGTTTCCTAACCTCTCTCACACAACTCCTCCCTCCAGTCTTGCCAGGAAACTGATGGGGGGAGGGGAAGGTGGAGGCAGAAGCGAGAGGCTCAGCCTACCTGATGCTTGCGGTTCTCCAAGTTCATGGTGCGGGGCCTGTAGGTAATCTCATAGGGCTTGTTTTGCTGATGGGGCTCCAGAGTGATGAACTCGGGCCCCTCCCAGTGCTCACCCTCAAAAATGGGGTGCAGATGCCAGGTCTGGTTGGTGCGGTTTGAAAGCAGGATGGTCTGCGTGTGTTTGGAGCGCACCTGGCAGGTGAAATTTACCACCTGGAAGAACAGGAAATGGAATTTACAAATCTGTAGTTCAAGGCAAGATTCAGGCTGGAGAAACATATTTGGGACTTGTCAGTGTAGCAATGCTTTTTTAAGGCTGAGAAACTGGATGAGATTTTCAAGAAGTAAATGTATTTAGAAAAGAGAAGGAATTTAAGGATTAATTCCTGACTGGCATACTCCAGTGTTAAGAAGAATCGGA